GCAAACTTAAAACAATTTAACCAGTGTTGATTTTTTTATAATACTAAGGGACATAAAACGTTTGACAGATTTGACACAGTTCTTTTTCAAAATTCATATCTTATATATGTATATTATATATGTCCTAAAGTGTTTTAATATTCAAACATGTTGATTTTTCAGGAAGCGGTAGAGGACGCTGTCTGTCGATGTCGGCTGTCTAGTGAATTTGAACCTGTCTCATGAATACTGCCTTGCTGTTAAATGTGAAGCACTGCTTGTGGGGCGTGCTGTTGTGGCGTAGCTGCCAAAGATGCAATGTAGTGGAATAATGCTGCACTTATTAAATCTCTGGGGTCTGTTGGTACTGTGAGGTTATCATGAAGAGATTTTCTTCTCTCACTTTTTTCTGCATCCTTTACCATAGACACTGTATCACTACTGTCTGTACAATAGTCTTGCCTTTGAAATGAATTGTAGAACATGGAAAAACTTTTTTCCCAACCTTTTAATCATTATCACTTTTTCACCAGAGTATTGATTAACATTTGTTTTTAATGGAGCTCCTCCTTTTAATCATTTTGTTTGTTTTCTTAAAAAGCTATTGATTTAAACTTGCCCAAGCCTATAAAAAGTCAAACTGTGCACTCACAATGGATAAAAACACAGCTGTTACTAAACCAGAATTTTTGTGCTTGCAAAACAAATAGATAAAAAAAAAAGAAAGAAGGATCAGATAACTCTGTATTAGCTTTTTCTCTTCAGCCAACGATAAGAGCAAGCTTACATTTAAAATTCTGTGGACAGTCAAATAAATAAAATAAACAAATTATGCCTTTATGTTTGTTGGAATAAAAAGTAATGATGAACAAATTGCCTCTTTGGAATATAGGATTACCCTTTAGTTACTATGGCCTGAATCAAGAGTCTTTAGTAGTTCATCTAAACACTCATTAACTGTTACTAAATATAAACACTTTGGTATTTAATAAATCAATATAACTAGTAAAAAAATAAAAAAAACAAATCTATTGAATCCTGATCAATACTTCCTGCTATATTCTTATTAACCATAAGAATATTTAAAAAGGTAAAAAAACTTTTTTTGAAAAGCAATCAAAACACGCATTCTACTTTATTACACAAATGTTCAATATGTCAGTATATATGATTCCAAAACAAAAATTTATTATTTTATGTCTGCTCTCAATACGTGCCAAAAAGTACTCTACATTTAAAGGTCCCATATTATGCAAAATTCACATTTAGTATCAGTCATATTTGTCCTGAAGCATGTGTATTAGGTCCACAAATGACATGAAATAAAACATTTCATCTCCATCATTGCCTATCTCCACCTCTTAGCGATCGTGTACTGCTGGAAAACATTCCCCTTATGCTGTCATCAGGGG